GTGTGTGTGTGTGTGTGTGTGTGTGTGTGTGTGTGTGTGTGTGTGTGTGTGTGTGTGCACACACACACATACATACACACATACATACATTCAATACCAACAGCAGAGAACAGCTTCATTTCAGTTCAGATCAGCAGACCAGACTAGTTTCATTTCAGAGCTCAGAGCTTAATACAGCTAAGCCACGCTCAGACTTCTTACTTAAGTTTCTGTTTCCAAATAAGCCTCACTGGCTGACCTGTTACTATGCCTATTCATTGGCTGATCTTGTTACCATGTCTCTGCCAGTTCATGAATATTCTGACATAATTGCCAGGCTCCATTATGGTTGTACATCAAGGACTACATGTAATATAAAGAGATAATCATCCCCAGGAATCTTCCTTTTTAAAATACAGCAAAAGTGACCATTCATAGCAATATTTGAAGGGGCTTTAAGATTTTGTGCAACTATGCATTGTACACATCTGCTTTAGAAAATTTAATTTGAAATCATCCCAAGGATACAATTCTCAGTTCTGCTACGGACAAATTAGCTGCCTGCAATCCTCAACTTCACACTATATTGGCTTATAAGAACAACAATTGTTCTGGAGATTTTTCCTTTACGCAAGTTATTTTATACTCACCAACAGGATCAGAAAGGGTAGAGTCTGAACGCATGGTTTCCAATAGGTAATCGAGTATTTTTTCAGGGGTTCCAGCAATCACTGAATATCTGAAGAAATGAACAAGATATTGGGATCCAAAATAGCAATTATATCATGGAAACCAATCTCAGGAGACCTAGCTAACATCTACCAAATAGCTACAACTCATCAAGTTTGGAAGGCCTTTCTGGACAAATTTAAGGGCCCACAGATTGGCTGCATTTGCAGCCATGATGGTTTTCCTCATATTAGCCCAGGGGTGAAATGCTACCAGTTCAGATTGGTTCACCCAAACCAGTAGTAAAAAAAGCTACTGGTTTGCTCGAACTGGTAGTAAAAAAAATGCTACCAGTTCGGACGAATCAGTATTTCCGACAATCAGCTGTGATGCACAATTTATATTAGCTAGAAAGCAGGATTTCCTGCTTTCTAGCTAATCTAAATTGCATGGCACAGCAGATTCCCCCCACCTCCTGACTGTTCTACTTACCTTTGCACTCTTGGTAGCAGGCTCCACCCACCTGCCCACACATCATCAGGTCCATTTTTGATGCTCTGCGCATGCAAGGAAGGTCCTGTGCATGTGCGGAGGTGGCATGCGTGCTCACATTTGCGAAGGTAAATAGATTTCACCCCTGCATTAGCCACATATGATTACAGTAATTATCTACTCCAGTCTATAAGCAGTAAGCCGCCTTGTGGTGAGATGGACGGCAAACAAATGTAATAAATAAATACAGGTAGTCCTTGACCTACAACCATTCGTTTAGTGATGGTTTGAAGTTATAACGCTACCAAAAAATGTGACTTATGACCATTTTCACACTTACAACTGTTGTAGCATCCCCATGATCAAATGATCAAAATTCAGATGCTTGGCAACTGATTCATATTTACGAAAACAGTAACTGAGAAGGACCTTAGAGTCCTAGTGGATGATCATTTGAATATGAGCCAGCAATGTGCAGCGGCAGCCAAAAGAACTAATATGTAATCCTCGGTTATATAAACAGAGGGATAGAATCAAGAGCCCGTGAAGTATTAGTGCCGCTTTACAAAACCCTATTAAGGCCACACCTGGAATACTGCAACCAGTTTTGGTCACCATACTACAAAAAAGATGTTGAGACTCTGGAAAAAGTTCAGAGAAGAGCAACTAAGATGTTCAAAGGGCTGGAGACTAAAATGTATGACGAACGGCTGCAGGATTTGGGTCCGGCTAGTCTAAAGAAAAGAAGAATTAGGGGAGACATGATAGCAGTATTCCAGTATTAGAGAGGCTGACACAAAGAAGACGGGGTCAAATTATTCTCCAAGGCACCAGAAGGCAGGATAAGAAACAATGGTTGGAAACTAATAAAAAAGAGAAGCAATCTGGAATTAAGGAGAAACTTCCTAACAATGAGGACAAATTAACCAGTGGAACATCTTGCCTCCAGAAATCATGAGCGCTCCTTCACTGGAGGTTTTAAAGAAGCGATTGGACAGTCATTTGTCTGGGATGGATGGTATAGGTCAGTGTTTCTCAACCTTGGTAACTTGAAGATGTCTGGACTTCAACTCCCAGAATTCCCCAGCCAGCATTCGCTGGCTGGGGAATTCTGGGAGTTGAAGTCCGGACATCTTCAAGTTACCAAGGTTGAGAAACACTGGTATAGGTTCTCCTGCTTGAGCAGAGGGGCTGGACTAGAAGACCTCCAAGGTCCCTTCCAACTCTGTTATTCTCTTTTGATCTCCTGCTTGAGCAGAGGGGCTGGACTAGAAGACCTCCAAGGTCTTGCCTTGGCTTTGGCCTTGGCCTTGCACTGCACGGCATGTATTCCAGGATCATGCAATCACATTTTGTGCAAATTCAATGGGGAAGCCAGATTCACTTAAAAACTCTGTTACCAACCTAAGAACTGCAGATTCACTTTACAATTGTGGCACGAAAGGATGTAACATGGGGCAAAAGTCATTTAACAACTTTCTCTGCAATTAAGCCCAATAAACGTTGCACTCAATTGCAGTCATGAGTCAAGAACTACCTGTATAGAACCCACCCTTGTATATATATACCTAAAGTGGTGCACACACAAACAAAATCAGCATGCAGATTACAACTGTGCAGTTTGTACAATAAATCTTACTGAAGCAGAGAGATTTAAGCATTACATTCACGAGGAATTAATGACTTCCCTATGAAACATATGGGGTGCAGGAGAAGAGTTTGCCTGCAAGGGAAGATTCCCTGTTCTATCAAAGAGAAAAAGGGGGGGGGGAAACGAGGAGGCAGGTACATCAGAGGAAGGGGCAGGGAAATGAAGGGGGTCAGATTGCTGTACCTACTGCTCCCCAGAGTCCCGGCAAGGTGACTGGAATTACTGCCTTGTGAATTCTTCTCTAAAACAAGCACCACTTTCCCATGTTCCTTCAGCCGTAGGGTATTAGCTTCAACATCCTAGAGAGTTAACAAATGATTATATGCTAGCTTACATGATCGTACACTAGCCAAGAAAAGAAAAGAAATCATTCCATTTCTGAATTCTTTACTAGATTTGATATCCTTATGCAAGGCTTGGGCAGCCTAACTACCAGGCTCCTGTAATTTTGTCACAAGGCATGAAATCCAAATAGATCAATTTAAAATATCAAAGCAGGGAAACATTTGTAATCACTCTAGAATTTTTCTTTCCAAGAAGTCTGCAATATACAATCAAGTACCACAAGCAGACAATCAGTGTGATCAAGACTGGTAACAGTTGGAATTTAACAACGGGAGGAGGAATCTACAATACCTATCTCCCCTCTATTTGGTACTCTGCATCGTTGCTCAAATATTCCAATTGATTCTGATTAATATATATCAAAGGTAACAGAAGCAGTGGCAAAATATAGGAGTTTGTATACAATTTGCGTTAGACCAATCCAAAGAGAGGCAACAATGCAGATAATTGTGCAATGTGTGATTTTCCAGCTGTTGATTACAGTAGTCAAGGTCATCAAACATGAGAATTCGCATTCACCATCATTTTGAAAGCCACATATTGCCACTAGGAATAAATACATTCAAGTTTAATAGATTAAGGGCAGGAAAGTTGAAGCAAAGAGAAGGGTAACTGGGCTCTGTAAAAGATTCAACCATGAGGAACAATGTGAAAATCCAAATAATGGAACACAGAAAAGTGTCTAAGCACTTCATGGTTTAAATTTGGAGCAGACTATGAACTTTATTTATATACCTGCCTCTCCATCCTTCAGTGCTCTCAACTTCCTTGTACAAGACATAAGTTTTCTCCCACCAAACAAAGTATACTGAATGTTGCTCAAACACAACGGCTTCAGTCTCCAACATGATGGATTTCCACGCCTACCTTGAGAATCCGGTTGAAATCCCTTTTGTCCACTCGCAGGAAGTGGCAACTGTCTTCACGAAGGATGATGGTGGCAGCACGGGGGGCATCGTTCACGAGTGCCAGCTGGCCAAAGTCATCACCTTCATGTAGGGTGCACACTAAGCCCTGCAGGACAGGTGAATGAGCCGATTATTTTATCCACAAAGTCTAGATACCACCTTGACAAATATGAGTTGCCCTACAGGGGTCACTTGACTACTAAAACCACAAAATTGTTCTTTTGTATCTTATTTCTCACTTAACCAGGAGGAAACCAGATTAAACACAGCCCAGGAAGAAAGGGCAACTGTTGTAAGGACAGAAGGTTAAGCACACACAATTATATTAATTTTGCCTTGCAAAGGCACACCACCCCACTCACCCCCTGGATGTCTTACATGATATGGTAAACCTGTTTTTAATTCAGCAACATAGTGTTCCACCCTACTTTAACCTCTTAGATATATTTATTTTCTATTATATGGCTACTGTACTCCGTGACACCATTTTATGATAAGTAATATAAACATACATAGGAGGTGGGCACACGAGACAAAAAGCCAAGCCATTTTCCCACCTTACCTTTGTAGCCTACACTTTCTCTCTCTCTATATATATATAGACACATTTCTCTCTCTATGTAGACGCATACTGTATGTTTGTATGTAAACATAAGAGGATAGGAAGCTGATCTACAATGGGCAAATTCATTCATGTGGAAACATTTTAGCACTAAAATTACCAAGGGAGGGAGGGAAAATTTTGGCACACAGAATTTTTTTGCAATTTATATTCTTTCATGGATTTATGAATTGGGGAGTAGGTGAGGTGATGTCTAGGAAAATTACAGATGTTTAAATTAGCCATGTATATGTGGGAACCTTACAGAAAGGTACATTTTGATTCCAGACTTTCCCCAGTCAACATGAATATACAATAATACAGTAGCAGAGTTGGAAGGGACCTTGGAGGTCTTCTAGTCCAACCCCCTGCCTAGGCAGGAAATCCTATACCATCTCAGACAAATGGCTATCCAACAGCTTAAAGACTCCCAGTGTTGGGGCATTCACAACTTCTGGAGGCAAGCTGTTCCACTGATTAATTGTTCTAACTGTCGGGAAATTTCTCCTCAGTTCTAAGTTGCTTCTCTCCTTGATTAGTTTTTACCCATTGCTTCTTGTTTTACCCTCAGGTGCCTTGGAGAATAGTTTGACTCCCTCTTCTTTGTGGCAACCCCTGAGATATTGGAACACTGCTATCATGTCTCCCCTAGTCCTTCTTTCTCTTAAACTAAGCATACCCAGTTCCTGCAACCGTTCTTCATATGTTTTAGTCTCCAGTCCCCTAATCATCTTCGATGCTCTTCTCTGCACTCTTTCCAGAGTCTCCACATCTTTTCTACATCGTGGCACCCAGAACTGAATGCAGGATTCCAAGTGTGGCCTTACCAAGGCATTATAAAGTGGTATTAACACTTCACGTGATCTTGATTCTATCCCTCTAATATTGTTGAGAATTTTGGGAGTTGCAGCCCAGACAGGTGGAAAATGCCTGGCTTATTGAAAAGTGAGATGCTATTTAACAAGGGAAGCATTAGATCATGACAAAGGAAGAATTTGTAACCATGTAAAAAAAAGTTTGAGATAAAGCTATTCCATCAATTGTTTGCAAATACAAGAGCTGTGGTGACGCAGTGGCTAAAATGCAGTACTGCAGGCTACTTCTGCTGACTGCCGGCTGCCTGCAATTTGGCAGTTCGAATCTCACCAGGCTCAAGGTTGATTCAGCCTTCCATCCTTCCGAGGTCAGTAAAATGAAGACCCAAATTGCTGGAGACAATAGGCTGACTCTATAAACCGCTTAGAGAGGGTGTAAAGCACTGTGAAGCGGTATATAAGTCTTTGTGCTGTTGCTATTGCTACAAGCAACAGGGCTAGAAACACTGAAACAAATGAGTTCACTCTCTTCTGGTATCTGAATGCCTAGAATTCTTGGAGTTATCCTGAAACCAACCCATTGGTTGTCTAAAGAGATTAAAAGTTCACACCTTATCATGTGTAACAACATTGACTGATCCCTTCCAAATGATGTACCAGGACGTGCCCTTGTCCCCTTGGCTGAACACTATGGAGGAGGGGGAAAAAAGGACTATATGTTAATTACACAGAAAATTACAGCAGAGACAAATGTAGGGCAGTTAAAAATGAACCTTTTTTTAGAAATAAATGAACAGAAGAAGAAAAGGACGTCCTGAGCTGGAGTTAAGAACAAAAGAGCTAAATGGGAACCTTTTAAAAAGGAATACACAGACTTTAAAGAGAGAAAAATGAACAGCAACACTGGATAGTTTTCCTCCCTGATTTCACAGGACAAAGGATTGGTGAATGCCCTCGTTGTTCCTTTTTACAATGGTTGGCATAAGTTGTTGTGATACTGCAAGTGGCAGGCATAAAGATACATATCATTTTAAAGATGCCAACTCACAATGGCTGCACCTGCAGCCTAACTACACTCCAATGGCTGCATAAAGTAGCAGCATGGGATACAGGAGGGCCGTTGTCAGAGACGGAAAGAGTATGACAATGAAAACGTGCGACTCACACACAGTTCCAGCCTTGGCATGGGACTCAAAAAGCAGTACAGCAGCCAACTCTCTCCTTACCTGCAATGGAGAAACAGCCGGTGAGTAGTACGCCCTATGAACATGTTTCACTGAGTTATGCTATGGCATGTTTCAGAACGATGCAGTTGCTAACTGAAGTCAGCATGTGGCGTAAAACAGCATTTAAGATAAATCCTTCCATTTCTAGACTCAATCCACACCGAGACAAACATATTGAGACAAACAAACTGGAGGATTATAAAATAGATGTTAGTTTTTATGTTTTTAAATCATCTTCAGGAGAAGGAAGGAGGGAGGGAGGGAGGAAAAACAGGTGTATAAATGGGGTATAATTCATATCTCTATCAAGGAACAACCTTAGAAGGGATGTTGCACATTGGCAGAGGTACAAATGAAGACTTATCAGGCAGAGAAGTTGAATTAGTTCACAACACAAAATTTCCCAAAGCTCCCTGGGAAGGAGAAATATGCAAGTAATTGTTAATTCCTGATGTAAGAAACATAACATTTGGCTGGAAAATACTGTTGGCATCCCTTAGGAAAGGAAAGCAGAATAGGGATCCATGCCAACAAAGCACTGATCACTGTAGGTGCCTGGTACTAGATTTTCTGTAGCTTTGCAATGTGTGCCAGCTGTGCCAGTTGCATCCTGTTTGTTTGGAGCTGTGGGCTGCTGCACTTCTGCATTATGCCATAGTTCCTTCCTGTCTTGTCCTCTACAGGCATCTAAAATACAAAGCACGTCACCGGAGAAATCTCGGTGCAATCAACCAAGGGTTTGTTTTCCTAAGTCAACGTGTAAATTACACAGTGTACTTTGGCAACCTGAATAGGGAAACGACCAACAAGCAAATAAGAAAATGCAGTGGTGCCAGCATGATTTCATCTTTTCCATAAGACTAATCAGTAGAAATTCAGGGTATATGGACAGGAGAGCGAACACCTGCAGGAGAGCAAAGCTGGACAGGAACCTTGCCCACCTTCCCCTATTCTAATCTGTATGTTTTATGCATAAACTAACCATTTAAGGGCAACATCAAGTAGAGTAGAAGTGAATCTAACTGCTGGATTGGATGCATTTGGAGTGACTGAGAGTTGATTATATGGACCTAGAGCTATTAGACAGTGGGAAATTTATGTGAAAAAGTACTTTTGGGGAAAGGGTACCAGAAAATATGTTACCCTATTCGTGACCCGTCAAAAGCGCGTTCCACAAAAGCGCGGTCGACGAAATCGCGTATGTGACGT